ATCCCGGAACAATCTCTATCACATCCACACCAAATGGTTGCAATTCATGCCTTCAATTCATCATTTTCTAAACATTTTCAAATTTCACCTAAAGACTTCAAGATCTTAAAAACGAAATGAAAAAGTGAGTAATTTGTTACCTAATAATGATACAATAGGATTGGACGGCAAACTTTGAGCAAGCATAAGGACCATTGCCTGCTGTCGGAAACAATGTGCTAGCACTACTGCATATCACTATTCGACCTCTGAGATTTGTTTTTCGCAAGAATGAAGCAAATTTGTTTTAGGAGTAAGAATTAAATAGACTCATACCACAATTATGATTCAACTCTAAGCAAAACAATTAAATTAAAAAAGAACAATTAGATTCAAAAAAGCTTATTAAAAGTTTAAAATCGATAAATTTTCGCGAAACCACACCTGAAAGTCTGAAAATTCAAAAATTATCTTTAAAGCAGGAAAAATTAACGCGAGAGTACGAGGGCAGTTGAAAGCTCTTAGTAAAGTTGAAATTCTATTCAGTATTTTAATCTTAAAAATATTTATAATTTCACAATCGTTATTCGATAATTCGTAAAATATCCAAAGAAAATTTGTATTTTATCGATTAGCACCTGGACTTCTTGATAAGGTCTCGAAATGTATGTGTTACTCGTATCACGCCATATGTATTCACATCCCATACTTCTTTGTAATCATCCAAAATCAAGAAATCATCGTAAAAAAAATGACCTTGAACACCAGCATTATTGACTAAAGCATGAAGAACTGAAAAGAATTGCTTCAGACAAATGCATCAATTCCGATTTCTAAATCCTTTTGTCTTTATGGATCCGAATTTTGTTTGTTTCGCTCCTTTTAAAGCATTTTTTATATTCATACGGATGCCAAGCACTGTGAATTTCACTTTATCGAATATTTTGTTCGAAATTATTTCCCAATAAAATTAGAAGACAAATTTGTTTGCTCGCAATCATTTTAAACTACTAGAAAAAATTTTTCAACGACCAAAATAGTTAGAAAGAAATTTTATTTTTGAAAAACAATCATTAGGATCAGAGATGCGAACCGAGATTTTTTTCCTTTAAAACCCTGTCTACAATTTCTCTGGATTCTCGAACACTCTCGTCATTGGTGACATCCATCCGAAATGCCTGCAGTCGACCTTGGCTGATGGAGCTGTAGCTTTCTTCCAGTTCATTTATATGCTGCAATCACATGGAACTGACATAGTAATCAGAAAGCATTTCACGGAAGCAACAAAATTATCTCTCAATTTCTTCTATGATCTCTTCTTACCTCGCATTTCTCATTTTTCTGCAATAATTAGTACTTTAGACATGCTTTCAAATCCAAACAACCGATTAATTGCTAAGTTGCATTCAACAAATTATTTGAAAACGATGAATATAAGCTTTATAATGCTCAACAGCTTACACTTTCAAATTGGCATCCTGCAAAAACTGTTAAGCCATTCTGAAGACATCGTTTCACTAAATCTCTGCCAAATCCTGGGAATTATCTCCTCTTTTTACATCATCAATTGAGAATTTAAGTTGATATCTTCTTC